CAGTAGTTGAAGCAATAACTACAAAACTAACCGGGGTATTGAATGTTGCGACAAATTGCATCGGCTCCACAAGACTCCTGGAGCTTGAAAGCATCTTCTAAGTGCTCGGCCATCACTTTAACCATTTTGCCTTGTTTCTGGCGGGCACCTATGCACTGGGCCATTTGACGGGTTACACATACGAGGTTTTTCTTGATTCCTGGGCGTTGACAAAGGACAGCCTTGGTGTAGTTATGGGGACTTGCGTTGGGGTCAAAACCTTGAAAAGCGCTCTTCCAGATGGTTGATTGCACTAGTCCCTTTCCTTTACGGAGACGGACAATGACAGGTGCTGTATCTGTTCCTTTGTTCACATGCCATGTCTGCGAATTATCCATCCATATCTTTTCATTATTTCCAGTTTTGCCGGAAGCAGATCTCTTGTTACTATTCGTTTCCATTGCGTTTAGGATTGCACCCCTCTCTTCAATCGCGGCCTTGACTTCCTGCTCCATCCCACTGATCATCGAGCTAATTTCCTTTTCATTAGGATCTGGTGAACGAGAAGAATATAAAGATATGAGATTGGTATAATGGGCGTCTACAGTAGTTGAAGCAATAACTACAAAACTAACCGGGGTATTGAATGTTGCGACAAATTGCATCGGCTCCACAAGACTCCTGGAGCTTGAAAGCATCTTCTAAGTGCTCGGCCATCACTTTAACCATTTTGCCTTGTTTCTGGCGGGCACCTATGCACTGGGCCATTTGACGGGTTACACATACGAGGTTTTTCTTGATTCCTGGGCGTTGACAAAGGACAGCCTTGGTGTAGTTATGGGGACTTGCGTTGGGGTCAAAACCTTGAAAAGAGCTCTTCCAGATGGTTGATTGCACTAGTCCCTTTCCTTTACGGAGACGGACAATGACAGGTGCTGTATCTGTTCCTTTGTTCACATGCCATGTCTGCGAATTATCCATCCAAGCTTCATGGCCAGCATATTTTCCAGCAAAAATCTGGATCATCTCGCCTTTGAGAGCGTGTAAATCTATCATCTTTTATCTTATGATGATTGTTGCATGGTATTTTTCCTCCGTCGTGCTGGGTATGTGTACTTGTTGACAATGAAACGGAGTTGTTGCTGTTTTCAACATGAAACTATTTGAAATTCTCTCCGTCATCGCTAATTTTGAAACGAAGGGTCGGCGTGCGCGCAAAGGTAGATTTTGTCGTAAATTTTGTCGTAGTGTTGTCGTAATTTGTTGTAGGTTTGTCGTATTTTGTGGTAGCTTGTTGTAAGTTGTCGTAAGTTGCCGTAAATATTTTACAACAAAATTTACGACAAAATTTACGACAAAAGACTTGTCGTTAATTATAGCTCCACTGTTTCGGAGAAATAAAACAATGTTTTGCCCCCTAAATAATTCTATGTCCCCGTAAATGATGGAGGAATTCG